TAAGGCAACACTTCAATGTTTGTGTGTGGAAAGAAGGTAAGTTCCCCCCCTCCCCCAACTCCCCAGTAATTCAAACCCTTTCCCTGTGTTGGAGCATGATTCCCTTGTTACACTGCTACCATTTGGGTCCATCCCTGATTGCTAAGGTCCTGACCAAATGCAGTCTACTTCAGCATCCAGAGAAAACAGACAAAAAACAATGTCCCATGCTCTGTCACCCTTTGCTTTGGGTTATTCTCTAATAGGATGGTTTTTATTTTAAGGTGACAATACATGCAAATGTAGTATTAATATGGTCATTCAAAAGGTGAACCACGGGCTGTGTCAGGTACATTCAGTCCCTGCCCTTGGCTCTTGCTGTCCCTGTATTATTCAAGATTCCCCTTCCAGGAAGTGATGCTGAAAAGCTGCAGCCCCCATATCCTTACCTTTTCATGGAAGTGTTTTTTCTGATCCTGTTGTTCAGTCTTTTCATTTCGAAAGGCTTGAGTGGAGTTTGGTGTCTTCTGAATTTGACTAGCAAGCTGGAAGAGAGGATTAAAGTGCAGCATGAGATGACTACATTTGAGAGTCTGCTCTCAATAAATTTGCTTCCCTGGGAGCCCAGGGCTTAGTATATATGACAAATTGCATAAAACACAGTGGCAAAAAGGCCAAGTGTGTTATATTGGGTTGAATATGCACAAAAAGCCCACTAATCTCTTGCTAATGAGGAAGGGTGCTGTTCAGTTCCTTTTAAGTACCAGATATTTAATTAAAACTGCAAAGCAGATTCTTCAAAAGGCTTAGCAAGTTAAGATCTACAGCCATGGTCAGCTGAGAAACTATGATTAATGCTTCAAGTTCATAACACTGTTCAAGGGATGAACTTCCTATCATTAACCAGTCAATGCCAGAGCCCGTCCAATACCATCTTCTCAAGTCACAGTCTGCCAGGATGTGCCCATAAATACTGCCTTTGGCGTAACACAGCAGAGAAAGTTCAGGTTTAATACTAAATAAAGCTGTTTATCTAATGCCTTGCCAGTGTAATAACTGCATGAACTGGGCAAAAACCTCCAGCATGGCATACACCAGTGATTCTCAGCCAAGGTCCCCTTGAGATCCTTTTAAGGGTGATGCAGGTGTGCACACATAATTCACAAGAAAGACCCAGAGATTTCAGGTAGGAATCCATAATGTCAAAAACATTCTGCCCTGCTGTTGTTTTTCTGAGTTCTTTGCAATAGAAAAACTGCTCTATTACTTTTCTGCAGTCAAAAAATGAACAAAAACTAAGAGCTGGCATTTTCCGAAGGGTGCCTTGACTCTAAAAAAGCTCGAGAAACACCGACTTCCTAAAGGAAATCAAGGCTGTTACAATGTGGGAGGAAGGGCTGCGCAATGCATTCACCCTAAGAGCATGCATTTAAAGTGCTTTGCGACTCTCCTCCCTCCTTCCCTCAAAGCTGGCATCTAAAGTGCCCTGAATAATGACTGCTATCACCGTGTTACATAATTTGACCCCATAATTACATCTGATGAGAACTACAGGTCCCACACATTCAACTAGTCACCAACTGGGCACTGAGCTGTAATCTGTGCCTTTGTAGTGAGACTAGCTTCCAGCAGCAGCTAAGCCCATTTCTTGGCACTCAGGATGCCGTTATGAGATGCAGTCAGCTTGACGCAGCTGCCACCTGGCTCCCAGCTTCAACACTAGAGGCAGTGAAGGAAGCCAGCACAGGCGCTTCCACGCGCTCCCTCATCCACTTCACTCAGGTAAGTGTCTGCACCTACTGGAAACAGGTTTGACCCTCATGTCATGAGGCTGGAATTTGTAGGAGCAGAAAAGGGCAGATAAAGCAGCCTGCAACTGCAGAGCTGGTGAAGATGTACTCACCAGGCACATCTACACATGCACTTTCATACGCATTAGTTTATTTTAATGCCCATTAAAGTGTCACTAAAAAAAGTGCTATTTAGTCAACGCACAGTAAAATAAGTAATGCGCACTAAGCACCACTAAAAACCGTGGATGCCTGTATGTAAGCACAGAGGCTGCTCCAACATGCTGTAATTACAGCGCGTCGGAGTAGAATCAATTGAGTCTGGTGGACCATGGCAATTGCCATGCTCCAGCAGCCTCCCGCATTTTGTGTATCAGTGTCCCCGTGCGTCAAAATGGTGGCTGGGGTACTTTATTTAAAGCGTATTCATTGAGCTTTAGATAAAGTGTCCCTGCTGCCATTTTGAAGTGTGGGGACACTGATACACGAGACACTCGGGGCACTTTAATTAGAGCGACTCTTGGAGCTGCTCTAATTAAAGCACCCCCCACTCCCGGAGCACGTGTACAAACGCTGTGTTCTTTAGTTAATGTGCATTAAGAGGAGCTAAGATGCATTTTCTGAGTACTTCACAGGGAGTTACTAGATTTAATGGGCATTAACTAAAGCACGTTAATGCATGTGTAGATGCACCCTCGTCACTCTGAACTGAAGCATCCCAGAGAGGGCTGTGAACTGTCTGCACATCAGACTTGTCATCCTTCACCTCAAGGCTGGCAGTACTAAGCAGAAGTCCTACCCGAGGCTCCTTCAGCAGGACAGGAGCCCTGCTCTCAAAGTCCTTGATGTGACCTGGGCAGCAGCTGAATGAACCTGCCTGTTTCTGGGGAAATCAATGGGCAGATCAGGTCTCACCAGCAGGGATGTGTAGAGGAGATGCCTTTTGTGGGGAGGATCTCCAGCTTTTCTGCCACAGAGGTGCCAGCAGGGACAAGGAGAGACAACGCTTGGTCTCTGCCCAGTGTGTGAAAGGAGCTGGGCTGCTCCAGATGCTGGTGGACACCATGTAGTCCCTCTGCCTCCACAGGCCTCTCAAGAGGGGCCAGCTGAAATAACTGTTCTGGTGGTTCATTGAAACACCTAATAGGAAGCAGAAGGGTTAATGAGCCAGAGGCACTCAAAGGACAATAGGATGGATGCATGCACACTCCTCCACTGTTTCTAAGGAGATGCCTAGTGAGAACCAATTACACCCTATTTACTATGAGCGGCTGGCCTGTTTCCTCTAAGAGGCCAAGCTCTCTCGGCCTTGTTCACCATCCAGGTGCCTTCTCACAGGTTGCTTAGACAGCTGAAAGAGCAGCCATGTCTGGACCCAGGAGCCTACAGAAAAGCAATCAAAGCCATCTCTCTGGTTCCCTCTTCTCCCCCCAGGCACTTGCATGGTCTGGCTAATGCAGCAGCACCCAGTCAGACCGTTCGATCAAAAGACAGATGATGAGACCTGGAAGAAAAAGGCACTTCTATTGCACACAGCTGCCCCTATTGTTGGCGTGCCATGCACTTGGTTGGAGCTGCGATTAAAATCCCCAGCGCATGCAGGCTGAGGCACTTCCTCCCACAGGCAGGGAGCCCACTGCGAGAGCACTGTCACTGTGGAGAAGGTACATTTGAGTACAGAGAAAGAAGAAATCAATTTATTGACTGAGATGTGCACAACTAACAAGCCAGCCTGGCTCTCCCGCAGGTGAGGAACTGCCACATCTACGGAGCAGGCTGAAACTATTCAGAGAGCTGACCTGCAGCCCCTGTGCTTCATAGCGCAGGGAAGAAGATGCACACAGCAAACCAGATGCATTCTGCTTCCAGTCTTCCCTGAAGGTTTGCAGCCTGATTCACCACAGGCAAACTCCTCTTTCTCTGGTTCACAGAGCACATACCAAAGGAGCCGCTGTATCACTTCCTGACTGACGCACTTTCCCTGAAGGGACCCAGGGTGGGCACAGACCCTGGCTTATTCAGCAGCCCACACACTGCCTACTCAATGCAAACGCCACCCCATTCCTCCCTCTGGTCTGTAGGAGAAGAAATCAGGGTGGGGAATCGGGCAAGGAGAAATTAATTCTCAGCATTGTTTGAAAAGTGAAGCTGTTTGTGCTCGCCAGCTTGGCAAGCCGGTAACTTTCCAAAGGCTGCCAGCCCACGCGCTAGAATCTCAGCTTTCTATTAAAAAATGTATGGGCTCTAGCCCCATGCTGAAAGCTGCACATGAACTCGACATGTGTAAGAGAGCCTGAAAACAGCCCAGAGCAGGAGGCCTTAATGCAAGCCTCACAATGTCATAATGAGCAGGTACGCAAGAGTCGGTCCTTAGCTACTCCATTGCTGATCACAACAGGCAAGCCAGGGGTGCAGCTGGTAAGAGAAGGATGGACTTAAAGATCTGCAGGCGCTACTTGAGCACCATACTGGCACAAGCAAGTACAACTACTTCCTAATTCAAACCTCTCCATGAGCATGCCCAGCTGATGGGTGGCCTCCCAGGAACTGCATCTCCAGTACAGATCTCCCTGCTGCCACCAGTGATCACCCAGAATGGGTTTGGCAGGGGAGGGAGAGAACAAGCCGGTAGTAGGGAGTATTGAAGGGAGCAAATCCCTTTTATCCAAGGACTAGTAAATGCAAGGGCTAAGTTTCACTAAAAAGAGCAGTGACGAAATAATGCTTAACCTGTAGCATAATGGTTAGAGCCCAATGCTGTAAAGACAGAGTCGAACCCAGCATCAAGCCCCCTCTGGGTGAAAGGACCCTACAAGTCAGCTGCCCTGTTTCCTAAGCAAATGCCCTAACCCATAGGAGGCTATTCTATGTCTTGGAGTTAAGACATAGGATAGCCCCCATCTTGAGTTATGCTCAGTCCTCACATCCACACTTGTACAACCTCAGTGCAGGGTTAGCAGATTTGTAACCTGTGCTGAAAAGGCCACTTATGCACTGGGAACTTGCTGTTTAGGTACCCTTTGGGCAGCCCTTCTGCAAGCCCTTCACCCCCCTGGTCCAGTGGCTCAGTGGCTTGCTATAAAGCACTGACTCTGGTCCTCTGCTGAGGCCTTGAGCCAGCTGGGGAGCACCCATCCTCTCCCCACGGGCTGAGCAGTAAATCCCCCCTTCTCCGTGTTACTGAGCTCTTTGGAGTGCTCCTTGTGCTCCCAAGCCTTCCAGGGCCCTGAATTAGCCTTCAGTTCACATTACACTGTACATGCCAGCACCTCCGTTTATTTATAAAGCTGAGTTTCCCTTCCAATAACACAGGAAAGACCCTTCATGCTTTAGACATGGGAGAGAGGAGACAAATGCACTAGGCAGAGCTCGGGGAAGAGCCAGTACTGGCACAAGTGCTTTGGAAAAATCAGGAAAGGTCACATGAAGAATCCTTCCCAAAGCAGCCAGGGCCTCTTGCCTCCACTCCCAGTGTGGGAGGAGGATGTGATTTCCTGCTCAGGGAAGGAGAAGAGTCCCCCACCCTACACATGTGATAATTTGGATATTTTTCTGGTGTATGTGTGCGTGTGTGTACTGGGGAGGAGGTGGGGGGCATAAGGCTATGCAGGAACTGCCAGACTGGGTTATACCCAAGGTCCATCCAGCCCAGTACTTTGACAGTATCAAGTAGCAAAAACTTTAGAGGAGAGTATAAGAAACACATTTTTGCTGAGTGATCCCTCCCCATTTCAACCACATCCCTGACTGCTGTGTTTAATTAACAGTCCCTGATGGAGCTGTCCTCCAGAAACATGTCTATTTTCATGTCAGGTGCAAGGCAAACACCTGAGAAAGAGCTATATGAGCAGGACTAGTCCAGGGCATCTCTATCAGCATGACGAGCCTGGTCCAGATCTAGGCAGTGTCAGTGGAAGGGAGGGACGCACTGGACAAAGCAGAGCCGCATGACTTCCCCTGTTCGCCATCTCTATGCCAAGGGCTGAGGAGACCCCCCTCGCTAAGGTGGGCGAAGGCTGGCTCAGCTTGGGCTGTGAATCATTATACTTGATGGGCGAGGAAAGAGGCTGAGTCCCTGTGACTGGGGGAGGTATGAAAGGATCTTTTTCCAGAGCATTTATAAATGCTCCAAAGTCTCCCCCCTGCCTAGCCCAGAGGAAAGGCCTCAAAACCCAGAAAAAGAATTCAATTTACAGGCAACTCTGATCCAAACTGCCTTTGAGGGTTTGGTTTCCATGCTGTACCTCAGCCCCTGCAGAGACCCCCTGAAGTCCAGCCTTTCAGCCCCAGCTACAAACACGCAATCTCATTCAAGTCTGCATCATTTTAACTTGACAAAGCTTGACTTTTGAATACAGAGGGGTGTGCTATACCTGCTAGAGGAAGGAGATTGTTCCTACAGAAGATCACAGCATCTGGGGATGGAAGATTCGCAGATCATCCAGCCCTTTTCCTGCTGCCCATGATTAAAATCGGGCAGCTCAAAGCTCTCCCTAGCTGACCTCTACAGTGAGGGGCACATCACAGCTTCCTTGCCGTTATTCCACCTTTCGTACAAACACTTTTGTTCTATGCCTAGCTGCAAAAGCCCAGAGCAACTCAGCAAAAAATGCACAGCCCACACACGCAACACACAATTCACAGCCTTAAGGCATCTGTGCAGCGAAGGGAGCAGTAATCTTGGACTGCAAGTCAAAGCAGCTACTTCCAGAGGTGTCATACATATTTCATCTTGCACCTTGTCTGCCATGTGCAAACCTGAGAGGCTTACGTAAGGTCGCCGAAGACAATGAACTGACTGGGCAAAGGCAAAGCCCCACACTCAAAACACAGTGGGCTAGAAGCTGGCATGGCTAGGCTAGGAAAGTCTGGCAGCTTGTTCAGGAGACACGTGGGGAGTGAAAGGATGGAGGCTTGCGCAGTGGAAACTCAACACCTGGGCCCCCTATTACTGATCTGAGCAATATTTGCAGCTTCTAGATGCGCTCAGGACATGGACCAAGCTGCCAAGCCAACCAGCGGCTGCTGAAGGATGGTTTAGGAACAGTGATGCCAGGGCTCCCCAACCTCACCACACCATGGCTGTGCCCCTCGCAGGCACAAGAGCTGGTAGGACTGGCCAGATGGTAGTAGCTTTGCCCTTTCCAAGGGGCTCCTGAAGGCCAGAAGTCACTCTAGTTTTACCTTCCAAAGGTCATCTATGCAGCAGCTCTGAGATGATCCTTCAGCCCAGATGGCAGGCAGAAGTGCCTGTCTGTCAGCTGACCTTCGCAGCAGGGGATTTCAGTGCCCAGCTTCCTCACCCTCATGCTATTCGCTCGCTGCGAACTCTGCACAGCCGTGGCTTCTGCTTCATAACCAGCGGGCTGCCAATCTCAGCACTGTTACTGAACTGTCATGGCTCAGCCGGTCACTGGGACCCAGGGGGTCTCCCTCACTGGGCAGCACTGCGCAGCCCCATCACCCCAACCTCCTGCCACGGGGCTCCAGAAAGACCAATGCAGGTGGGTGGAGAGGAGAGGAATTTAGCAAAGCTGTACCTATGCTATATGTCTTGCTCTGATTCCTGCTGTTTCAGTCCCTGGTGAAGCTCCACCGTGCATGAACGGCGGGGAAAAGCCTGGTGTAGCAGGTGCAGCAGGGCAGGGCTGAGATGCGCTGCCAGAACAGGGCAGGGGCTGCTCTTGGGCAGGAGCGAAGTGTCCTGGCAGTGCGCTGGCAGGCTCCGCTCAGGCCATGTCATGGCTCTTGGGGTAAAGAGGTTTCACACACATGAAATGGCCTTGCTGTCTTTGGCTCCACATGTCTGGAGGGGGAGCTGAAAGCCCCTCTCCCTCCTCCGCATTCCCAAGGACTTGCTACCAGGGGCTCCTCCCTCAAGGCTGTAGCTGCAGAGATGCTTCATCCTGAATCAAGCACGGGACTGTAGGGCTGCTCTGCCCATCCTCCCGCACCTCCTTTTAAAGCTTCCCACGTGGGCTTAATGTATTTACTTCATGCATGAAAACCAGTTAACAGCTGCCAGTCACCTTCCCCTCATCCAGAGATCCTCCCTCCGCTAAAGCAGCTGAAGCTCAGTACATGCACTTGGGAATAGCACTGCGATTTAAACAGCAATTCACTCCGAGAGCTGACAAATGCCGGGGTTGCATTCTTCAATTAAAGAGAAGCCCAGACACTTCTCTGTGATGAGCCAATGGAAAACACATCATTCTGACAGGCCTGGAGCTCAGACTGGCAGCAGATCTGCACGAGGGGCTGGAGGACCTTGCTTACTAGGAATTTCATCCCACAATACCCTGCACTCGGTGCAACTCAAAAGGGCTTGGCAGCTGTACAAATCAAACACTATGACACCTTCCCTCAGATGGTCCTGGCTGCCTAGGAGATGTAATCATCATTCTCATTTTGCAATTGTGAATGGCCAAGCAAAGGGTCAAGTAACTTGCCCAAGGCCAGGGAGGGAGTCAGTGGCAGAGACTAGAAACAGCACCAATTCTTTCACTTTCTATTGCTGTGGTTTCTCCACTAACCATTGCCACCATTTCGGTGTATATGATTTCCCTAACACTGCACTCTCCATCCAAGCAGTTCTCGCCCATTCCTTTCTGCTTTGCTTCCTTTCCCTTAGGAAGCAGGTGCACGTCCCACTAGCTAGTCGATATGCAAACTGGGCTGAGGTGCAGAGCAGCTGTGTGACTAGAGAACCATCATCATCCTACAGCCTGACTATGGACGGGGACCCCACGCTGTAGCTTGGCCCACTAGAGTTGGTCAGAAAACAGATCTTTTCCCCAGTAAGTTTTTTAAATTAACCCAGCTCTGAATGTTTTCAACATAAGCAGCTGAAAAAGGTGCAATCCGTTCCCAGCCTCGCCCCCAGCCAACACCTGCCAAACCAGAGAGGAGGAGGAAGGTCGGTATCACTAACCCAGCTCGCACCCATCCAGTGCACTCTGTGTAAATCACCCGACTGCCCAACGTGGGTGCTCAACCTCTGCCCTGGAGCTGTGGCATCTGACCCACGGGGGCTCCGGCAGCTCAGGGAATTTGGCAGTGGGGAAGCAGTGGCAATAGCACCACCCTCCCCCACACGCAAACATCCACGTGCCCACGGCTGAATCGGGGCTGGGCCATGCCCAAGTCCTTGCAGGGCGGGGTTGGGGCCGGGCCAAGCCCTCTTCTCCTCCGCAGCAGGACGGGGACCTGCTGTGCCTGCCCCGAGACTGCTGGCTTGATCCAGCCCATGTAGGTTGAGCAGCACTGGCCTAACCCAGTGCCTCTCCTCAAGCACCAGCTTTGCTTGTCTGGACATTGCACGCAGATGCTCAGCTCTCAACTCTCAAAGCAAGCGCTCTGGTCCCAGCTTAGCAACAGCTCGAGAGCTCGCGGCAGGCAGAGGCAACGCTCCACGGATACACTAAGGCATCTGTCAAGGCCGAGCCCAGGAGCCGGCTGCCCACCCACTCCCCCGGCATCGTCTCCACCTCGTACAGTCACAGACCGGAGGGTGGGAAGGGAGCTCAGGGGGCCACATCTAATTCAACCCCTGCTCCAAGCAGGACCAGCCCCAACTACATCCTCCGGGCCAAGGCTTTGTCCGATTGCACCTTGAACACCTCCAAGGATGGAGACTGGACACACTCTCTGGGTTGCCTGCTCTGGTGCTTCACCACCCTCCTCCTGAGAGAGTTTTCCCTAATATCCAACCTGGACCTCCCTTGCTGCAGCTAGAGCCCATTGCTGCTTGCTCTGTTTGGCCCTGCGGAGAACAGTCCAGCGCCATCCTCTCTGCACCCCCCTGCAGGGAGCTGAAGGCTGCCATCAAGTCCCCCCGCAGTCTTCTGCAGCTCCCTCCGTCCAACCCTGCTGGGGCAGAGCATCCCCCGTCCGCCCTCCGCTCCCTCAGCAGCAGGGCGGGCAGCGGAGCCGGGCAGGCGGGCAACACTCGCGGCCGTGGAAGGGGCCGGGCCTTCCCTCGATGCCCCCACAGCAGTGCCGGCTGCCC